AAGTGTGTGAGACCTTCACAGTTAACTGCTTCATTGAGGTGCTGCCCCCAGGCTGGGACGGATTCAAGAGCTACCTTAACTACAAGAAGAAGCAACTGTTGTTGGCTAACTTGATCACCAGGCTTTAGAATGAGTCACAAAAACATGACAAGGCAGAACAACCTTAGACACATGATGCAAATGGCTTTCCTCCATAGAGTGCGATTCGAAAAGTTGCTAATCAAGTCCCCTCGAACTTCAAAAAGCAAGCTCAAGCTCTCAACAAGAAGTTCTCTACGAAGTGTACCACTGCGGCAAGATTGGATATCATGCTACAGACTGTCGCATAAGGGTGTTAATCAAGCTAACCAAACTCTAGCTGATCTGTGCGCATTTGTAACATAAGCTAACATGGTTGAAGAAAACCTGAAGGCATGGTGGTACGATACTGGTGATACCACACACATGACTTTAGAGGGTTGTATTGGTTTCTAACATAATTTGTCTATGTTGATATAAATTGATTCTTTTGTATGAAATCGTGTTTTTCATAGATAAAAAATGTATATGTTTTGGTTATGTATCTAATTTTTTTATAATTTTTTTTAATTAATTATCAATAATTTATTAGAGAGTAAAGTTTTCTGTTTACGCAATTTGTTCTAAGTCAACCAATGCATTCCCTATGTTTGACCGCCGGTGCTCCATCAGAATTGTGAAACCGTAATGGTCAGGTTTTAGTGATTGTTTGCGGTAGTCCGAAACACGACATGGTATTCGTTGATGTCGTTGATGCCACATATTTGATCAATACCTCTTTATCTGTTTTAGGAAGCAACCGTGAGGTCTATTTATTTACCCATTTATGATGTCTTTCTATAAGAAAGTTGAGCATTTTTGTTTTAATTCTACCTAAACTTTCTGAGATCTCTAAATATGTTTGCATCCCCTTTAATCCCTATGGTTTAGTGGACCATTTTCTTTATTTTAGGACTACTGTATGATCAAATTGTACCGGATATTTTATGAAATTTAAATTTTGCCTATATATTAATTCGGAATTCCAAACAGTATATCCATTTCTTTTTCATATAGCCTTACAGAGAAATAAACTGTTATCTGAAAAATAGGTGTGAACTTGGTAAACATGCACGTGCTATCTTATATAAGTATACTCCTGTTGGGACCAATTTTACCAGGTCCAAAGAGGACCAGACACGTGGACACTAAACAACCTTAGACACTGACATGTGGCCGAACCACTCCTGCGTACTGTTCCCGGGCAGTTGGCGAGCTTCCCCAAACACGTAAGAATCATCAACCCACCTACTTCCCTGGCGCACAGAATGGAGAAGATGGGACAAGGAGACCGCTAGTATAAAAGAAGAGAGATCACCAAATCAGAAGGGGATCAGTTCAACGGATCTAAAACCCCTCTTAAGGAGGAGGTATCCGACCAAATCGAGTCAACTAACTCCGATGAGCAGAATGACCAAGGGAGAACCCATGGTTCCCCCGAGTAAGTGCCTTCCAGGATAAGTCCCTCTCGACCCAGAATCTAGCCTTTATACTGGCTGCACCTCCTTCCTTCTGTATATAATCCCCCTCGAAACACTTTCAAACAGATAGATGTCTCGATCCCTGGACGAGATTTCTCATCCTAAACCTGTAGAAACACCCTCCTGAGTACTCGTTCCCGGTAGGACGTTCATTGACTTAGGCGTCAGAGAACCTTTGGGAGGGACAACCACCCCATTACCAGGCCCGATTGAACTCTTGTGCAGTGTTTGCAGGATTGCATACGACAACCACCCCATTACCAGGACTCAAGCAGGCTTCCGCCCGGGAACGACTCATCGTCTTTCCCTCCAGAGGATGAAACTTGGAGGCACTGCTCCATTCCCCGGACGAATCACACACTTCCACGTGGCATCTCGAAAATTGCTCCCGAACAACTCCATATATTTTTAAATATATGATATTTTAGGATTTTTACTTGTTTTTAAAAGTTTGATGTTTTAGCTTTTAGTTAATATATTTTAAATTAAATATTATTGTTATTTTTATTCTATTGATACAATTGTGTTGGAAAACAAAAAATTAACTAAAAAATAAAATATCTTAAAACCTGTGCAAGAACTAAAACATTATATATTAAAAACGGAGAAAGTATATTTTAACCTAAAAAATATTGAACTGATAACCTCTGTAAATTGGTTAAATTGTATAGTCGAAAGTCTTGTATTTAGAATCTGATAGAAAAAAACAAAAACAATCATATAACTAAAGTATGGAGTCTAAGATACTTTATTACTTTCTAATTACATGTAAAAACACTTTGGAAGAGAGGTGGACTTTGATGAGATGATAAGACGAAATCATCCTTACTGTTTAATTAAATCTACTTCTTCATCTTCTCTATCTCCACCGAACAATCTGCACAAAAAAAAATTGACTCCTGTGTCGATTCAATCGACATTCATCCCAAATCCAAATACTTAAAGTTTCCATTTTCAAAATTCTTACATATCGCGACGACGATGAAAAAGCTTTTCAAAATCAGAACCGATGTTGTGATCAATTCATACCCAATCATAAGTGAATCAGGTACATTGGCAATTAGCTCCACTTATAAACTTCAGCAGTATTTCCGGAATCAAGATTGCAAATAAGAAATATGGATTCATCAAGGATATTGATCTGTTCACAATCCCTGGAAGTTTATCCGAAATCAAAATTCAAAAAGAAGTCAGAATAGATGCTTGGTTTCAGGTTTAAAGCTTAAGCCAAGTTTCTAAAATTAGAAAAACCTAAATGGTCAAGATTATGTAGTTAATTGTCGGTGGACTGGGTTGTGTGGTCAGTTTTCAATTTTTACAAAATGTTATGTATGTAAGTATGCTTTTATTATTAATTTTTTGGACACATAAACATGTTTATATGGACACATTATGATGGACATATAAAAACTGATTTTTTGTATTTTTCTTCTAGTTTATTAACACCAAACAGATGTGCATAATATGGTGTTCATCAAAACCTATCCACGTAATCTTGTCCATTGAAAATAAGTTAAGACATGGCCGTAATTGGAGAAGTCCCGATGAAGAAATTCTTCCAAGAAGTTTGAGGCTCAAGCTCTTTTTGGTGTGTCTCTTCCATCTCCTCCTCTTCATCTTCCTTTCTAGCATCCCAAAGAATCGAGCATAAGAAGCTTGTACATAACTGCGGAAAGAACAAGTATATTGTTCACGTGGATGCAACATCGGTGCCAATAATGAAATGTGTCGCTCTCTTCTGCGATTTTGTTGGCATCCATGCATTCATATCCACATCGACTTAATCACTCTTTCCTTTATCTCGTAGAAACAACCACCACACTCACTTGAACTCTAACAAACATAAACAACAAATCCCATCTCGATTAATGCAGATAGCTAATCACGCTTGAACTCTTGTTAACCATGTACACATCAATGTCGTCCAGAATAGATAGTCCAAGAGGCTCCATCCATGTGTTGACAATGTAAACTTGTCCATGATAATCTTTTCATGACAATTTCACATACATTTCATGAAATCCTACTGAAGTTGGATATGATGTCCACAGAAACCTGTGTATATTAACATGTCCATCAAACTCGTCCACATTATTTTAACCTCCGTAGAACAATATAGTTACTTTCATTTTTGATGATTTTTACCGAATGAATGAGAGAGTGTTTAGGGTTCTGGGTTTGCAATGTCAAGGTGAATAAGCTTGGTCGCAGAATGTGTGTCACAAAATAAACCAATTTTAATCATACATGTATTGCTTGTTGATACTCTGACAAAGATTAAGCGCTATCTGTAAATGACATAATAGGTAGTGGAGATGATGATTTTTGCTATCTTCATTTGTTTAGTCTTTGTACTATGTCCATAGTATTGTATCTATATGAAGTTATCCATTTGGATGTGTCCAATGTACTGTGTCTATACAAAGATAAAAGCAAAAACAACTAAAAGCTCACATGTATTTTATGAACAACATAAGTTGCATCATGGATTAAGGTATATGGTTCGTCTATTAGCATTATCAACGAAGTTCTGTCCACCCATCTCAGTCCACCACCAACGATTTCATGTCTTTGCTATATCTGTAAACATAATTGGATCAATGTAAACCTGTCCATGGCAACCTATTCACAACAATCTCACATACATTTCATGAAATCCGACTTGAGTAGGATATGATAGTCCATACTTGTCCATCAAAATCAGTCCATGATATTTTAACCTAAACTTCACTTACGTTTGAACTCACTATTTTCAAACGTGTCCACACAGACGTGTTCAGACAAACTTACCCATAAAATATTTGTTCTACACTGTTTACTCTTCTTCTCCATGCTTTTAATCATCTGTTTGATTGCTCCAATTCATCTCAACATTCAATGTTCCTCAAGATCGCAATCTCCAAATCTCTCTAAAATACTTTAAAATTACCACTCACTTTGATTGGCTAGCCATTTTTCCCTTGCATTTATCACTGTTTTTACTGTTTCGCGTTAAAGAAAAGGACAAAGACTTTTGAAAATTACTTAAGCTCACAAATTCTTAAAAACATAAAATTACATATGGATATAGAATATCACCTTGCAATCTTTTCTATTTCTCTCTAATCAAATTTAACTTTCATTGCGAACTTACCAATTTCAGTGTCCATTGTGATTTTTGTGGAACTCTAATTATGCACAAAATCACGCTGTGAATTAATGAATAACTATCCTGAAGTAATCACATTTTGTTAAGAATATTTCTAAGATTTTAAATTTAACAATAAAAAAATTAAAATAAAATCTTTGAATAGTTATTTTAAGTATAAAATCAACTTTAAAAGTGTCGTAAATCACTCTTAAAATATGTACATCAAAATTAAAATAAGTTTTCTGAACACGTGATTAAAAATCTTGTGCCTAACTCAAACCACATTGTTTATGGGTAGGGCTTCTAATCCGATTGGATACAAACCCGAGATCCGAAACACGTGGCTATAAAATTCTTCCAACAAATCTCATCATCTTCACGTTTTCCGAGGCCTTACAGTCTCACTTCCGGGTTTTATTCATCACTTCACTCCTCTTTTCACTTTTCTCTCTGAAACAAAATGAGCTCCCAAATCTGCAGATCTGCTTCAAAAGCAGCGAGGTCTCTTCTTTCTTCTGCTAAGAATGCTCGTTTCTTCTCCGGTACGTTTCATCTCTCTCTCTCCCTCTCTCTGTTTGATTGTTTTCTGGACAAAATCTGAAGATAAGCTTCACGAACCACCTGTGATTTTAGATCCCTTAATCGATTGACTGATTAATCTGTTGAATCGCTCTCATTCAGAATTTGATCGAACCGTTTTGATTTAATTCCCGATTCGTTTCATTTATGGATTTGGGGAAAATGGGATACATGTGAAAGTTAGTCTGGTTAGATCGATTTAGTGATAATTTGATCTGATGGATTCATTATGCTCCGTGATTTCAAAGAACAACAATTTGAATTTGGGATCTCATACGTACGTTGTTCGCCAAATCAATACTAAGATCTAAAGTTTTATTAACTTGGATCTTTAAATTTTTATCAGAAGGACGAGCCATTGGTGCAGCAGCTGCTGTTTCTGCATCTGGAAAGATCCCTCTGTATGCATCTAACTTTGGAAGATCATCAGGTTCTGGTACCGCTTCAAAGAGCTGGATCACCGGACTCTTAGCTCTTCCTGCTGCAGGTTTAGCCACATTATTTTGAATATAGAACGAAAAAAGCAGCGAAAAATTGTCTTAATCACATTGAATATGATCAATTTGAAAACTTTCACACTCCAAAAGCTTAAAAATCGTGTTTTTGTGAAAGTATTGACCTATGTTTTCTTTTATGGTTTGTGTTATAGCACTCATGCTTCAAGATCAGGAAGTTCTTGCTGCTGAGGTAGTAATAAGTATCCATTTTTTTGGTATAGTTCATGTTCATCGTCTTTATGTTCTTCATTGCTGAACCTTTTTCCGTCTAAATTAGATGGAACGCACTTTCATTGCTATCAAGCCTGATGGAGTGCAACGAGGACTGGTAATTAAACACTAAAAGCCTTGCTTTTTACTAATTTCTTGATAGTTCTTCAGGTGTATGTGTAGTTTCTTATTCACATGTCCAAATCTTATCTCATTGAATCACCAGATATCAGAAATCGTTTCTCGATTCGAACGCAAGGGCTTCAAGCTTGTTGGTATCAAAGTCGTTGTTCCTTCCAAAGATTTCGCACAGAAGCATTACCATGATCTCAAGGAGAGACCTTTCTTCAATGGCTTGTGTGACTTCCTTAGCTCTGGTCCTGTTATCGCGATGGTAAGAGAAAACTCTCCATTCAAGTTTTGGAATTTGAGAACAAACTCGAAGAGAAAAGTTGACTAACATGACATGACTTGTTTTAGGTATGGGAAGGAGAAGGAGTGATCAGATACGGACGTAAACTGATCGGAGCCACCGATCCTCAAAAATCTGAGCCTGGAACAATCCGAGGAGATCTTGCGGTGGTTGTTGGGAGGTATGTTCTGTTTTCTTTCTTTTATAATTCGTATCAGGATATTATCAAGATTTGGTTTGGTTATTAAAATGTGAGATTGCAGGAACATAATCCATGGAAGTGATGGACCAGAGACTGCAAAAGATGAGATCAATCTGTGGTTTAAGCCTCAAGAACTTGTTTCTTACACCAACAACGCTGAGAAGTGGATCTATGGTGACAACTAATTCTCTCACACACACTCTCTCTCTCTCTCACTCGTCTTTGGTTTCTTTACTTTACCCAAACAATAAAATCAAGAAACAGTTAATTACGGATACAAAACACATCCTGGGTTTTGATTTTCCCGGCGAACTCGGTAATTAGAGCTGAAGAAATAAGTATGGGATGATTGAGTTTTGAAATTCTTGTTTGTACTGTCGTCTTGTTGAACCGTAATACTAAATACAAGTGTTGAGAATTCGACTTTTTAAGTAGAAACAACACATTTTATCTATTATTTTATTTTTAAGATTTCAGCTCTTGGTAACTGTTTGGGCGTAAAAATTGTGGTATTTTTAACAATAAACCAACATTTTATTTTATCGGTAACTCTTTGTAGTATGATTGAGAGACAAATTTGTATTAGGTAAATAGATATTACTACCGTTGTTCTGACTCTCTGACTGTGAGAAGTTAGAAAAAGCTTTTATATAAACAGAATTGTAAATGTAATTGATCCAATGTTCGGTGATTCAAAGAGAGAATGAAGAACTCAAAGTTGTAAATTAATTCAATATCAGAATCAACTGTCCCGTCACTCCTATTAACAAAGAAAATCATAATACTTCAACACAAGAAATAACCTAAAAATGAAGCAACAAACTAACAACAACGATAACACACAACCCAATAAACAATAAAAGATAGAGATGGTGCTCTCCACCAGATGAGTTGAAACAGCTTGCCGGGAAGTCCACTTGGTACCGGCGGCGTTTATCAACAATGAATGCCATGAAAGTCGCAAACAGCATGGTTACTATACTCAATGGGAATGCCCATATTATGACTAAGGTTACTGTAAATCCGTAAATGCCCTGTTGATTCGGTAATATAGTGCTGTATGATGCAAATATAGCGATACTCTAAGCCGCCACTGAACCATAGATTAACTTCCACATGGGGAGTCCAATTATGAGGACTATGATCACATATAGAGATGATAGGAAGGCAACCGCATTGGGGACAACAAAAAATAAGGCATCGGAGAAGCTCATAGTCATCTTTCCAGCATAATGATCATTGGCATCATCTTGCCAAAATCTGCCGGGAGGACTGAGACCAGCCTGGTATGTAGCTGTTACTATCAGTATAGCCACCACGAGTATTGCATCTCGAAGGTTGCTACTGTTTATAGACATGTCGCCTATCATGCATAAATTGCTTAGCCCCAATAGATTGTTACGATTCTCAATAAAGGATAGATTTTTGCTCAAATATCCTGCAAGAGTCATAGTGGAACAACAAGGTAGTCTTTCTCTAACATTGTGGAAAAATTTTCTTGCTTTTGGGAAACAAGGAGACTGGTGAGTTCGAAGTCTGTCCATAGCGGTTTTGCCATCCAAGTTCTTGGCTTTATTTTTAGCAGTTTTATGTAGCAACCATAATAATTTTAAAATGAAGAATCCTATATTTATAAGAATATGAAACACAAAGAAATATATATATACAAAGGTGAGAAAATCATAACAGGATATCTATCCAATTTCATGGACTAATAGCAATGTCTAAACAAGATTTTTTAGAGGATAGGAGAAACTAAATGAGATAAAAATAAAATAAAAAATAAAAGACATTTACCTCAGTATGATTTATCGATGCAGCAATATGGAAGACTGTGTTACCATCTTCATCTTTCCAGTCCAAGATTTCCTTCTTATTAACTCTCTTGACCCATCCCAATAAAACCTTAAATGCCATAAGCTGGTGGTTCTTCACGGCAATCTGCACAGCTGTCTCATACTTTATCGTCAAATCATTTTAGAAGAAGGACAAGTCAACAAGAACTCGCTCAACAACTCTGCATCGCCTATTCCAGCCACATGATGTAAAGGAGTAATCCTTCCTCTTTCCTTGATGCTGACTAAGCTGCTGTCGATTGCCACAAACCCTCTCACCATTCGAACGTGGTTGTTATGCAGGGCTAAATGCATTGGACTAAAACCTGACGCGTTTAGTTTGGAAGCAAGCGATGGTTTAAGAGTCATTAATTCCATGGCAAAATGAGTTTGCCCCTTTTTAGTTGCAATATGTAGCGGCGTCTCACAAAAAGGCACTTTATCTAAATGTCCTAGAATGTTTGGATCTTCTGCTATCAACTTGTAGAGTGTTTCTATATCACCATACTGAACCGCATTCTTCAATCTCGTGTAGATATTAGTACTCGAACTCCCACTCAAGTTTGCATCTTAATCTACCATATCCGATACTCTAGTGACATCCACAACAATCGACATAGCTTTTCTAGTCCCCTTTGACCAAAAAAAAAAAAAACTTCTCTAGTCCCCCAAGCTTTTGCTCCTTCCACAGTTTTTTAATTTTATTTTGTGGCTCCTGCAATACATTTTTAAATAAACACAAAGTCTGGACGGTGACCATATCTATTTCTGACAATAATATGTCAAATAGATGGATTTATGTCATTTTTAAATGAGTAGTGGAGGTTTTGAAAATTAAATTTTTAGTTAGTTTCCACATAAGAATATGGATAAATGCAATGTCCCACATTGGATTAGAGAGCTAACAAAACAATGGTTTTTTTTTGGAGAAAATTCTTCTTTAATTCCTACCACTTTCAGTATTTCATTATTCCATATGAAATACTTTTTTACTAGGCAATAACATGTACCATGTCCAGAATAAAAAATCTATAAATAACTTTACTAAACATAAAAAATTATTTTTGCGTATATAATATATTTGAGTAACAATAGTATTTGTTTATAAAATTTTATAATTAATTTTATATTATTTTTTATATGAATATAATTATATATGTAATCTAACCTGTAAAAATTACGATCGTAAAAATATTAATATTTTTAAAATATAAATAATTACAAATTTTATTTCAAAATATTAAATATACATATAAAAATAGGTTATATTTTTTTAAGTTTAATACTATTTATCAATTTTCTAAAATATATATAAGAGAGCCAATATTTATAACTCTTAACTTATTGGTCCATCAAATTAGAATATAATCTTTAAAAAATAGTATTTTAATTTATACATCAGGTTATTTTAATTGAATAAATAAAATATCTATAATCTATAACTCTTAATCGAACATAATTATTTATAATATTATAATTTTCAATATATTAAATTATTATTTTTATTATTTCAGCTATTTGAAATACTATATTTTTCTAACTTTATATTAAAACTAAATATTTATATTATTTGGTTAATTTATACGGTTCTATTAAAAAGATTATTATGAAAAAATATTTATAAATATTAATGACAATTATATTAAGTTTTATGCTTTTACTAAATTTTATTTATCTTTTATATATTTTTATAATGATTTTTTAACCAGCTACATTTTCTCATTTACATTTGTGACTTTTAAAATATACCTATATCTATTAATCATTTGAGTAATTTATATTCATTGTGAAAAATTCAAATAATAATACATGCACCAAAAATCTATACATTTTTTACTATGTAGATGATGTGATTATTTTTTGTTTTTGCAAAAATAAACTTAAATAAAAGGAAGAGAAGAAACAAAGTGTAAAGAAATAATTAATATGATGTTATTTTTGGTAACCAATAGAAAGAAAAAGAATATCTTTAAAATTAAATGCTAAATTATGTATATATAATTTGATATAAATTATGGTCTAAGTAATCAATATGAGTGGTATATAATGTAATTATTCTAGTAACAAAGGTTTTTTTTAAAATTTTTTTTTGAGAAGTTCTATGGTGATGACACATCAGCAAAATGACACCAATGTAATTACTTAAAAAATTAAAGTTTCTTTTAAAAAATACTTTTTAAATAATATATAGGGGCCGACAAAAAAATATATATATTGGGGATTTGTGGTTAACTAAAATCTAGATAATGACCATTTATTTCTACTCCCTCCGTTTTAAAATATATGATGTTTTAAGGTTGGACACATAGATTAAAGAATTTTATAAAATACCTATTTTAACCTTTTTATTAATTAAAGAATATGTTTTTGGACTAGAAATTATCTTAATAATAGAAGGGTAAGAAATGTCATTTTATGTCACTTTTTGCATAGAAAAAAGAGACATCATATATTCTTGAACAAAAAAAAAAGTATAAAACATCCTATATTTTAAAACGGAGGGAGTAGTAATATTATGACAACTAGAGGGATTAATGACCATTTATTTTAAGTAAGTTTTCATTATTTCATATGAAATATTTTTTACTAGGTGATCGGTCCGCACCGTGTGCGAGCTTTATAATTAAATATATGATTAATATTATATATTGATTATACTTTATTTGTATATGATTAATTATGTATTAATAATAACATTATATAAACATTTAGTAATAAAATAAACAATAAATCAAATGAAATATATTATAGATTTCAATATAAATTAAAGATAAAAATTATTAACCCAGATTTTTAAAATACTTTATTAGATAAAAAGTGTAAATATGATAACTAAATAAGCTGAAAATATTAAAATATATATTAATTTATTTAATTTTTATGGTTGGCCCGCACACATGTGCAAGTATAAAATTTTATAGACATAATTAGTTGTAATATTTAAGTATTGATTAATTTTTTATACATTTTGTAAGTGTTATATTTTTTATACATATACAGTTTTAGTGTTTAACAACAATCACACAAGTATTTCATATCATTTTGTGTCTCTGAAAAACTTATTATGTAAGTGTTACGTTTTTATACATATACAGTTTAGTGTTTAACAACAATCACACAAACGTTTCATATCGATTTGTGTTTTTTGAAAACTTTTTGTTTTTTCTAACGTTTAGAGTAACATATAATTGCAAATGTAAAAGTTATATGAAATAATAATTAAAATTTATTATATATTTTAAATATTATCTATATTATATTTCTTTTTCCTCTTGCATAATATAATCTTGTCAATATATATATTTTAAGTATACATTTTTCCTTGACCTATTGCTTAGTAACCAAAATGGGTTTTACCATCACTACTTATCCTAAGAGCAGGTAGATGGTTGGTCTGCACATTCGTGCATACCAACCACCTCACCGCTTTTGTAGTATATAGAGATTTTTTTAATAAATACAAATTGACCAATAACTAAAATTAAAATTGGACTGTGATCGAGGTTAAGAAATATATGCACGACAAATTTGCATGTGATTTTAATTTTTACACAATTAATATTTATATATATACATATATTTGTGAAAAAATTGAAGTATGACTTTTATGTGTTAAAAGAAAATAACAAAATATATGTTTTGTAATATATATTTTTATAATGTATGATTGATTTTTTTATATAAAAATATGTATATTTTTACATGTAGGTATATATTATAAATAAGTGAATTGTAATATTTCAGTGTTGATTAGTTTTTCTGATATTTTACACAACATTATAATTTTACACGATATAGTTTTTGGCGTTTAACAACAATCACGAAAACCGTTTCTATCGTTTTATATTTAATCAAAATTTCTTATTTTTTAATGTTTTATAATATATGGTTTTTCAATAAAATTTATTATAAAATTTGTGAATTCTTATTCTATAAAATTCTCTGGTAGCTCTCCGCTCATATATTCGTTAAATTCTCTGGTTTCGCAATCACTCGCTTCCACAAACTCTCTATAACTGCAGCATTTAAACCAGCCAGTTCCTAAATCTATATTTGTATAGTTAAAAATGTAAAATAATATATTTAATATTTAATTGTTAAATTAAAAAAATAAGAGTTTTTCTATTCCTAACTTTGATATATGTGTTAATCTTGTATATAATGGATCATAACATATACAAAACTTGATTCATGAAATAATATTTTAAGATGTTGAAAAAAAATATATGCATGAAAAAATTAATATGTGTAAGATAATATTTTAAAGTATTTCAAAATAAAAATATAAAATCGATCAAAATTATTGTTTTTTTTGTTTCTCAATCTTGAATAATATATTAAACATTAAGATCATCTCCAATGTATTTTTCTGTTCTCTCTAACCTATTTCTATTTTAAAGGAAAAAGAAATATTGTTACTTTTTCCTCCAATTATAGAAGAAAAAATAACATCACTATTTTTCCTCTAAATTAGAAGATTTAAAGTAAAATTGTGTTAGAAATGCTTTAAACCAAAGACATAGCCTGAGATTTTTACAGAAAACCAAAGTCCTAAAGATTCATTTTTACTTTTACTTATACTTCTTACTCATATGTTTATTTATATTAAATATAATTTATTTTAAATATTTGTTATAAAATTTGTGAAATCATATTTTAAAAACATTCTCCGGTTCTATTTCCAATATTTAGGAATTGGTTTGATGGAGAAAGTAAATTTCTTATGGTTAGTCTGCACGCATGTGTTCATTATAAAATTTGAGACACACATGCGTTTATTATAAAATTTCTTTCTTGATATTTTTAAATGACTCCGTAAAATAAAGTTTGAGAAAGTTACGGAAAAAGAAAACTGTAGAGACTTATTTTTATTTTTTACTTCTACTTCTACTTCTTATTCATATTTGTTTTTTTCTTATTTATATATATTTTTTTCATCCGGTTACATTATTTTTTATTTCTGATTTCAAATTCTCGATCTACAATGAGACTGTATATGAGTATGATATTAACTTTTAATTTATTTTCTTAGAAAAATAAGAGATAAAATAAGATGGTAACGTAAGCGACGCAAATTCTAAAAAACAATAATATAAAAATGTTCAAAATTATATAGAAATAATAATATATCATACTCCCAATATTATTAATATATAACATATATACTATCTTATTGGATAATCTATTATTATTTTTTATATAAAAATATAAAATATATATTGGTTGTAAAATTTTTGTAATCATATTTTATGCAATCTATTATGAATATGTGTAAAAAATTAAAATCATAGAAATTATTATTTTCAATTAATTTAGTTTAAGTGTTACAATCTCGTATATTTTTGTTACGATTTTATAATTTGTTTAATTATAATTCAACTAATCAAAATATTTTGTTTATTTTAAGAAAATTTCCATGTCACATTCTCATGTTATATTTTGATATCACCATTAATTAACACTAACTTTTTTTAAGGTGATGTTTTTCATTAAACATGCTTTTCAAATAATAGTTAAGATTTGTGGTTAACTAAAATCTAGATGACAGACCATTTATTTATAGTAATATTATGACAACTAGATGGATGACAACCATTTATTTTTAGTAAATCTGGATGAGGACCATTTATTTC